AGTAAGCAAAACACAATTTGGATCAAAGCATACCAGGGGCAGTTTCAAAGAGTAATCAAACCTTATTTGTGTGGTATTTTGTGTTGACACTTCACATACACACTCTGGGAATGTCAGAAACGTATTTTTCATATTGTATATAGGGTCTCCTTACAATTAACATGGTACTTTCTAACCCAAAAATTGGGTTTGTCCATACTGAACCTAAAATTGGGTAACAATAACCCAGTATTTTTTAAACTGTATGGTTTGGCGAAACCTAAAATGCCAAGATAATTTCTAATTATGCAAGTAGTAATAGTATATGCTCTGTGTAGCATTAGATTTTTCTTTTTGGGCATGCAGCTCATACGTATTTCCAGAGTATTTTTTTATTATTAACAAAAATGCATTGCCAACTCCTATAAAATCACCTGTTTGCATTATAGATTTAGGATTAAATAATGTATTAAAAAATATACTAAAGTTCTGAAACAAGATACATATAATTAAAAAAGCACTATTTGAAACAATTTCCCTGTATTGTCAAAACTGTCATTTACTATTAAATGTTTAGGTTCACACAAAAAAATATATGTTTGTGTCTGTATCAAATGAAAAGCCCAAAAGTGTTTAAATGAAATGTAACATTTTATATTAAATAGCAGAATATGGGTAAAATAATCTTATATCATCAATTAGCTTAACAGATTAAAAAATAAAATGTACTTATTCTTACCCATACTTCTACTTTAATATATATATGAATTAATGATCACACATAATTTCATCATATTTTTAATATCAATATTAAGGCTGTGATGTAATCCTTATATAGAATCATTTATGAAGAATTCATAAATCAAATCTTGTTCTAATTGGAACTTGTGTCGTATTTGTGGACTCGGATACAATGCCTTGAAAAGTATCAATATTCAATACTATTTTCAATACCATAGGGAACAAATTCAACAACTTTAAAATTATGAAAATTAAGTAAAAAAAAAAATAAGAGAAAAAATAACTAAACAATGTAATGTTTATTATGTCAGCAGTCCTTTAAGCCCCAAAGGCAAATTGCAAACAAAAAAATAAATTAATGCAACCTCATCTTATTTTCTGATTAAAACAAAAGTGTTAAAATCTTAATATCATTAATAATTGTTTAACTTCCTGCTGCTGAGATAAATAGAGAGAGTGCGAGAGATCAAACCCAGTATCGATACTAACCAAAAAACTTTATCATTTTAAATATTTCAGTATTTAGCTTTATCTATATTTAACAATAGTTGTTAGCCCTTTAAAGAAAAAGTACCCTAAGTCACAATTAGGCATAGGCCATTATTTGTATTATCTGATGGTATGATAACCTTGGATGAAAATATCACGGTTTCACGATATTATGATTACTGCTCTAAAATAAATTCTTTTTAAATGTCTGGGTAAAAAAACTAAAACTTTTCCCTTTGAACACAATATATTTTATTTTGAAAAACTTTATAACATTTTGAAACAGTAAACATCCAAGCCAAGATAATCCAAATAAATCATTGACTTCTGCTGTTTTCATTTGTTTCAAAAACAGATTTCTTTACAATTTAAAACAGCATCTTGGATATCTTTTCTGCTGGAAATACTATTGTCCAAAAAAAAAAAACATTAAAAAAATCTTACACATGCCTTAAGAATGGTATAGGAGAAGATTTTGGTGGTTTTAAAACCATTCCAAACCAAGGTATACCTTGAAATGATGATTATCCCATGCCTAGTCACAAAACTGCACAAGTTAAAGAGACTTTCAAGCATTCCCTCTATTAACCAGTTAACAAGTACACACACACCAAGTTACTAAGCTTAAGGTAAAGGTTTTAAAGCAGCACATTTACATGCAAACTCAACAGCACAAACAAAGCATATGTCCAGCACTAATCTTTAATATCTGTCGCTCAAATGAGCAGCCACAGCACTGCCCCTCCTTTGTCAACACTCTCAAGACATTATTTAATATACAGTTCAAACAAAGACACTTTGGTCTTTGGATCAAATGAAATTCTCATATTAAATTAAGTAAAGTGTGTATTTAATTGTGTTTGTCTGAAAAAATCAAAATATGAGTGAAATAACAGAGCGATAAATAAGAAAAGCATTTTTTAATAATGAAATGACATACATATTCAGTATTCAGTATATATATATATATATACATATATATATATATAAAACCAGGGGTGCACAATATATTAGCAACATGTGAGTATTCGCAATAGTCACATCGCAGGATCTGCAATGTTGAGTCTGTATTATAATAGATCATTTTGCAAAAGTTGAGGCCTGTGACTGTGTAAGGATTTTAAAAGCATTCAGGCCTAAGAAATTGTACCATTTGTAACTTTAAATGTCAGTTGACTTTATCGAACTGCTTATACAACGAAGACTATGCATTATTATTTTATATTTGATTATTCATTTACTGTAAACTTGAAGAGTGTTAAGACTCAATAGAAAACAATGAAAAACTTTATTTTATTTGTATATTTTTCTTTATTGAAATTATCTAAAATTGTAGATTGTTGATTACATTTTCCGCAGATGCACTGTCTTACAGAATCGTTCCATTATAAAATAATAAATTATTTCAAAATAGAGATATTTAAGTACTTTGGTGAAATTGTATTCATATCGCAATATATATTACAAAATAATAAAAAAAAACATTAGATCAACAATATTAGATTTTTATAATATCGTGCAGCCCTATATTTATCTTTAATGCTGGCAAATAGATGAAACCTAGTGGTGTGAAAGATTACAGCAAAGTACATTGATTCAAATTGATGGTTTACTAGTATTTTTAGCTGTACTGTAGTATTCGAATTCCTTTTAATAAGTAATTAAAAGTACATAAATGAGAGATAACATCCAATCATAATTTAACCCAAGAGATATACTTCCTTAAAGTACATATTCTGAACAATGGTGGAAAGAGTACTAAAAAAAACATACTTACTGTAAGTAAAAGTACCATTACTTGCCTAAAAATGCAGTGCAAGTACACTCTCCGAAATAAAGGTACATGAGCTGTCACTGGGGTGGTACCTTTTCAATAGGTATACATTTGTATTTGAAGGGTCCATATTGGTACCTAAAGATTTTAATAGGAACACTTTTGTACTTTTTAGGTACTAATATGCACCTTGGATGTATTAATATGGACCTTTTAGGTACAAATTTGTATCATTTGAAAAGGTACCACCCCAATGACAGCTCACATACCTTTATTTCTGAGAGTGTACAGTAAATGTATCTATTGTAAATATTACTCAAAGTATGAGTAAAAAGTAGTCCTTTCAAAGGTACTTAAGAGTAGTATTACGCTGTAAAAAGCTTTTGTGTATACATGTAATTTGTGGATGCATGTAAACTTAACATTCTGTAGTATATTTAGTTATTGCCCAGCAGGCACACAACATCATAAAATGTTAATATTAGATTTAGGTCGTAATGTCAGATGACCAAAATCCAAAGTCGAGCCAACATCTTAAACCAACATGTTGATGTTAAATGCCGACATTTTTTAATCAGGTGTGGCAACCAAAATCCAACATCTGACAGACGTCATAGAGGTGACATCCACACAACATAAAACTGTAACATCATTAGATGTTGATATTTGGTTGATTTGGTTGTCATGTTGACGTCTTGTGCCTGCTTGGTGTTTAAGGCCATTTCAGTCATCATACAGTAAACATCGTTCATTTTCTCATCAGTGCATATACACAGTCGGGTCAATATATGTGAAGATTTCAGACATTTTCTTGGACACTTTTAAAGCTTTCAAACAGTTTGCTGCAATTATAAATTGCCCATGTCTTGATGTAGTTCATTATGATTATGATTTACCTTCTATGTGCGATTTGATTGGACAGGAATAACAGGACAAGAAAACAAAGTAGTAACTGCAGGTTGAAGGAAAGTAGTGGAGTGAAAGTACCGATACTACACTAAAAAGGTAAAGTAAAAGTACACATTTTTAAAACCACTTAGTAAATTACTATTTCTTAGAAAAACTACTCAATTACAGTAGTTTGAATATTTATAATGTGTTTTTAAGTAACACATTATACCACTGATCTTATGTAATACAATAAGCAATAATATCTATTGTTGTGTATAGAAAAACAGCAAAGATTCAAATTGAAAATTTATTTATACTTTTTGTCTGCACTGTGCTCCTTGAGTATTTCAATAAGCTATCATAATATTTGTTTGGTATGTTATATACACTGAATGGCATAGTTGGTGTCTTCTGTAACATACAGCCAAAAAATGTGGGGGGGGGGTATAAATGTAGGCTTTCTGCAAAATGCAAGTCACGATGTTCACTTCCCAGAGATATATATTTCTTCCTCTCGACGCAACAACTTAAATAGCAACATTGTACAAGTTAAAGTAACTTTCAAGCATTCCCTCTAATTACCAGTAAACAAGCACACATACAGAGTAACCAAACTCAAATGCAGCATCACACTGACACGAAAGCTCAACAGCACAAACAAAGCACATGTCCAGCACTAATCTATCTGTCGCTCATACAAGCAGAAGCCACGTCTCTAGCACACTGTTATAGCGAAGCCTCCAGCATATTTACTTCCGCATTCTTCACGAGAAACACAACACAGCAACAATGTTTCAGAATCCCAACACAATCATTTTCACAAGTTTGCATGCGACATGCGTCAACACATCGTATCAAATCTACGCCGACACCCTCGAATGTACTATACGTTCCCTCAAATGTTTCGGCTGAGAGGTAAAAACACGAAACAAAGTTCGCCCCCCTCCTTGCTCGCAACCCCACGCCCTCCATTTCAATGGCACAGCTCGAGTCTCTCACACAAGAACATATAGTTGTCAAATATAGTTCTTATATCAGCACAAGCAGCACCGCAGTGTCCCAGGCCTGAGATCGGCGTCTCGGGCGCGTGGAGGCGCCTCCTCGAAAGCGTTAATAGATCTCTTACCTCGCTTTCTAGGAATCACAGAGTTTCAAATCCCCACTTAAAGTGAAACTTCTTTTTCCCAAATCTGGGAGAGTAACAGGCAGTGACGTCAGAGGGCGAAATTCCAGCCGGCAAACACACACACACTTACACACACAGCCAGAGTCCCAGAAATTTGCCCATGTATGGCAGTGTGAGCCAGCAATCATGCAAGAGCTCTTCCTTACAACCGCGTTTCTCTTATTGTGCAAACAGTGTAATATCTGGGATTATTCATTATATGCTGTGTGTGATGAGTTGTTGGGGTTTGGACATTATACTCTTTATTTTTGTGCAGCCTATAGGTTTGGGAGGAATTAGTTATATTTTGATACAAAAAATTCCACGTCATTTTTTTTTTTTTTTTTTGGTGATTTATTGAGCTAGCTGTGATCCGAATGACATTCTGTGGGCTGACTTACTGTAAAAGTTATAGAAGGAAGAATGTAAATGAACACTGACAGAAATGTTACAGTGAAATATATTTTTAATTAAAATGGTGGTAATATATTTGAGGGAAATGTTGACACAAGAGCTACATTTGGAAATTATTAGATTTTTTACTTCGTCCACACATGCACACACAGAGAAAGAGACAGAGAGAAAGTTAAAATCAAAATTATTAGCCCGCCTCTGAAATTTTTATCCTTTTTAAATGTTTCCTATAAGTGATGTTTAACAGACCAAGGACATTATCTCAGTGTCTCCTGTAATATATTCTTTTCTGTCTTATTTAATTTTTAGTTCTTATTTAATTTATATATAAATGCTGGATTAAAAGCAGTTTTAATAATTGTTCATTATATATATATTTTTTTCTGATTACCTGCCGAACAAACCACTGCTATCAAATACCTTAGCTAATTATCCTAACTTGCCTATTTTAACATAATAACCTAGATAGATATCTAAATTTCACTTTAAGATTAATACTAGTGTCTTGCAAAATAAGTAGAAAAAATATCATGTAGTGTCATCATGGCAAAGACTAAACAAATTAGTTATTAAAATTGAGTTTTTAAAACTAATATGTTTTAAAACATCGAAAAAATATTATTTTCGTAAACAAGACTTGCGAAATACTTTAAAAAGAATAAAAGTTTCACAGAAAGGCTAACAACTTTGAAAATGTATGTATGTGTGTGTATGTTTATGTGTATGTGTTCATTTGTGTATGTAAATTTTAATCTTGATGATAAAGTCCATTTTTATATAATTGTAGTGATTATTTATATTTAATGAATTACTGTTTTAATACTATTTGTTGCAATGGTAAGTCCTAATCTTATATCACTGTTGGTAAAGCAAATGAACACAGAACATCACAAGGACTAACATCATATTGTGGTACAATGGTCAACTAAAATAACAACTTCTATAGGAAAAATGTAATAAAACAGTGTTTGAGTACACAAATAGCATTACAAATATCCTACAATAATCTTTGCTTGCAACTTTTATAGCCTCACTCCAAAAACACTGGATGAAATATTTAAATTTTAATCCAACAGTTATGTTTGTCCATATTTTACCCAACATTGGGTAAAAACAACCCAGCCTTTTTTAGACTGTTCACAGTTTGAGGCATGACAACTTACCCCATAGTGTGATAATATGCTCCAACGCGCCTAACAATGTCATCATTATACAAATATGCAGCTTTTGCAGCAAAAACTTGTGATTTTTACAGAAACTGATTTGTTTATTCTCATTTATTTAAGGCTTTGTGCTGGGTAAAATGACACAAAAGCATTACAGAGCTCACACTGTAAAAAATCAAATGAACTTTTTGTCATCTCAACGTATATCAATCAAAGTGATTAAAGTGAAGTGTGAACATGATTCAGGCCTGTAGATAGCCTAGGGGTGGACCTATTTGCAGTTATTCGCCTCATTTTCTATTTATTTATGAGATTTAAATACCGCATTTTAGTGACATTTTAAGCACTATTTTTTTGCTAGATTAACATGCTAGTCAGCATGACCACAAGTTTAATGTATAAAAACATTTCCTAAACATTTGGATTAAAGAAATATGAATACAATACTTTAGATACAAATTTACTACATCACATATCATTAGAAAAAAAAAAAAAAAACAGGAATCTGTTGAAGTTTTAAATTAAAACTATTGTCATTTATTAGACAAATAACAAGCTGTCCAGCACATTTAACTTTCCCCAGTGACAGCGAAGCAACATCCAAGATGGGATTTTGCTTGGTCTTAAAGCGTTCTTCGATGGGTTATTTTCACAATTTATTATGGCATAGGAGTCAGAATAGGACAAATGATCTCATGAATGGGACAAATTCTGCACCTTTGTCAGTGAGGCAGGCCTAGATTAAGAATTCAGAGGCCCCTGGGCACATTGTCTTGTTGGTCCCCCTACCCGGCCGCACCTGTATAGTTGAATAAAATAAAATAAGAATAATATAATATTTTTTAATAAAATGAATCTGCAATGTATTGCCCGCATTTTTTATATAAATGATATATAGTACATATAGTCCACATAAATGTTACTTATTTTTAAGCATTTGAAGCACACTTTGATAAAAAAATTATATCAAAATTAGTAAAAATGAATGTTTTTACTTGTTTAAGTTCACTGAAGCAGTACTAAAAATATATATTTTAAAGGGTGTTCGTTGTAAATACAAATTAGTTATATTATGATGTCGCTAACATATAACACCAGGTAGAAAATAACTTTATAGAATATTTCAAAATCACTATTTAGATGCTGTTTATACACATGAAATAGGCTAAACCTTATTAAATACCCATGAGCCACTTGTGACTTTATATCAAATTCTCATTATTTTATTTTTAAACCAAATATTTCCTTTCTATTAAAAATCAATGTATTTTCAATCTGATATGTAATAGGGGAAAAAAAGAAGAATGAGTTCGTAAGACGCTGGATTCGAGCCGATTGATGATCCATTGCGTCAAAACATGTTGCCATGCGCTTTACGAGCTATGCGCTCACGCTGCTGTGAAATGCGCTCTTTAGTTATGTTGTCTCTGTCAATCAAACAGTGATGGGCTATTTGCACTTTGCGTATATAGCAGTGGTGGGAGTAACGAATTACAACTACTCACGTTACTGTAATTAAGTACATTTTTGGGGTAATTGTACTTTCATGAGTAAAATTTTAAGCTTGTAATTTTACTTGTACTTGAGTACAAATTTAGCTGAGTAATCTACTTTGTTACTTTTATAATGACAATTCGTTACAGAGTACTGTAAATAAATTAATATTTCAGCCACGCACTGACCAGCATTTCGGTAGCCAATAAAAAAAGCTGATCTTAACGGACCAATGAAAAGCCTGGTACATTATTTGAACCGAAAAACAAGTTCAGGCTACTGCAGATTTACGTGAGCTGACCATCATCAAACAGTCACAAAGTTATCAATTGACATATGGAGATTTAAGACAGAGGAAATGAGGAAGAAACAGCAGAGGATGAATGCATGGCCACACCCGGAGGAACTGTTCACCTACAGGTACATAGGGAAGAAAGGGGACAGATGTGCTGATGTGAATAGCTATATTATCATCTAAAATGCTAATTAAATATATGCCCAAAACTGGAATATCGCATAAAAGACTGCAAATAAAGCAGCGTTTCTGTCCATCAAGTCAAAGAGAACAAAATTGCCACCTTCTGATTAACTGGCGATAAATATCAAAAGTAAAAACAGAATTAGCATCAGTAGGAGAAGCTGCGTGAATAAATTATCTTTATTTAATAAGTGACTTGCGCATCAGAAGGCAATCCTGCACGCAGTGAACGCGCGCTGGCGTTTGAAGGCGCGAGACACGGAGTGCAGAAACTCTTGACAATTCTGGAGGTCATTATTAATAAAATATATTACTGAAATGGTTGAAGCGGTTTAAAATGACCAAAACAACACTTGATGTCTAAAATATAAACATCTAAATTTTAGCCCTTAAAAAGTCTTCAATTCGCTGTTCTAGATCTGAAATATGTTTGCACAGGTCTTATTTTTCCGATGTACAAGTAACGCTACTTCTAATGCTCATTTAAATTATTTTTTTGTTGTTGCTTGGTTTCGTGGTGGTGTAGTTCTTTATTTCACTAGTCCTATTGTAATTTGCAGTATTAAAACTACAAATAATACCAGCATGCAATAGCTCAGTGCGCGCGGCGAATGTGACGTCATCGCCGTGTTTGCGGAGGTTCACTTTGGACGCGCGCGACATGATTTCGGGTGAACAGTTCGCGCGGCGCCGCGCTTGATTTGAGTTGAATTTGAATCGCTTTGAAGAGATTTTGTCTGTAACAGTACGACTGTACTGACATCTTAACTATCCGACCATGCGTGATCAGCAAAGAGATAACCAGATGACCAACAATTCTTGGCTAGAAATTGCAACAGCCATGGAAAGGAAGTGTTTTGTTAAAGTTTGGAAAAACCTGGGGGATAAGTTTGTTACAACAAAAAAGAGGCCATGGCAAAAGTGGAGACCCAGGTAGTTTTAAGATTACAGAATATGTTTTTCCACCATTTATAGGTTTTACACTGATGTATCATTTTGAAGTTAAAGCAATGTAACAAAAATTAAGTAACAAATTAAGTATTTGATAACTGGAAAATAATATATAAACCCATCGGCTTACAGTATACTGATGCCCAATTTCTAGGCTTTATTGGTGATGATGGACAGGATTGTTGGACCATTATTGCCTTTTCAGCTCATTAGTAGAGGACAGAAACTAGCCAGACAATAATGTGTCAATTGTTGAGTAGGCAAAAAAATTCTTATTTTTTTGCTATTATTCTTGCCAGAATAAAAAAAAAATATTGTGGAGTAACCCATGTTCTGTTGTCATTGATATTTAACTTTAATAGGTAGAACTGTCCGAGATATAAACAAAAGTGAGTGATGCATCAAACTTTGATTTAAAAAATCTTGAAAAGTTATAAAACTTTATAATCATTCATTAATTTTCTTTTTGGCTTAGTTCCTTCATTAATCTGGGGTCGCCACAGCAGAATGAACCGCCAATTTATCCAGCATATGTTTTACACAGCGGATGCCCTTCCAGCTGCAACCCGTTCTCATTTACAACAACAGACAATTT